ATCTACTGGAATCACACAAGGAATGGCCTCTTCACTACCTCTTTCGCCTACTATCTTGCCCGAGGTTTATCATTTCTGAGCATCAACCAAGACTTTAGCTGGGTTTGGAAACATAACATCTCCCCGAAACTTAGCTTTTTTCTCTGGGAATGTATGCACCAAATTCTGCCTACTAAGACGTTTCTTGCTCGATATGGATTCACCTTGGAGGACTCCTGCCCTTTTTGCTAGGTCGAAGAAGAGAGCCTGGACTATATCCTCAGGTTTTGCCCGGATATTTAACCCATATGGCAGTATCTATAGATCCCTACCCCCCTCCTGATCACTTCTGAAGTCCCTTTCACTATTTGGCTCGAACTCCAGATGAGTTCTAAACTGTCTTATCATGGATCTAGCATCCCATGGAAACTTATTTTCATTCACCTCCTCTAGGAAATTTGGTTAGCAAGGAATGCCGCTGTATTCAGGGACATTAACCTAAGCTTATCCATTATTCAACGAGCCTTGAGTAAAGCCGCAGAGTTTTACGCCATCTTTGATCACCAACCCACTGTTCTCTCCCCCTCTTTCATTCCAGTCAGGTGGAGTGCCCCTAATATTGGCTGGTATAAACTTAACACTAATGGCTCAGCCATTGGTAACCCAAGCCGGGTTGGTGCAGGAGCCATTATCAGAGATCACATGGGCAACTGGGTAGCTAGCTTCCACAGATTCATTGGAAAAGCTACTAGTGTGAAAGCTGAGCTCTGGGCACCTAGAGATGGTCCGACTCTTGCCATCACCAAGCGAAGTGAATGCCTAGCTAGAAATTTAGCTCGATGCTATTGCAGTTATTAGCCTCATTACTGCTCCATGCACTCATTCTAGTAACCTTGTGCTTGAACCTCTCATTCATGATTGTAGGATTATGTTGAATCAGTTGCAACAGAAAAAGATTTCGTATATCTTCCATGAAGCCAATCAATGTGCTGATGCCCTAGCAAGGAAAAGTGGTGGCTATGACCCTAACAAAAGGGGCTTTTGTAACACTAGCTCTAATGCTGATGCGAGCAATCCGTATTTTGTAATGCATTTTGATCCTCCCAACTTTTTACAGTCGTGAATGATGGTTGACTTTGCGCTAACTATTTTGTACCATACCTTATTTTAATGATTAGTTTATCCTTTTATCGACCAAAACAAAAAAAAAAAGGAAAAGCTTGGATCCATAACCATCATATCAAGCGACCATAAGTTTTATTTTTGGTTAATGTCTAACACTTAAATTATAATACAATATTTAATATAATATTTATATTCAAAAATATTTTAATATAATATTTAAATTATAAACATATTAATTAATATGATATTTTAAAAATTATTTGTTTGCTCTTTATTATTATTTAAAACTAATCATACTAATGATGAATATCATATAAATTAATATAATCATAATATATTTATCATATTAAAATTTTTAAAATTTAAATATTATATTGAACGTTTAACTATAATTAAATAATCATTCATGACATTAATCTTTTTTATTTTAATTTTAAAAGAAAAATAAAAAAAAGGCAGTTAGAAACACCAAAAAAAATCCATGTCACCTTATTCATTGAAAAATGTTATGTCATCTTAATCAATGTCGTGACTAAAATATTATGTTATGTCATCTTCGCCAATGGCATGTCAATTAGTTATATATTATTTCATGCTATTTAATAGCTTGAATACTACACTTGTTTAATCTCATAAAAACGTTTCAATTTGTAACGATTTCGAAGACAATGTGCCCTTAATCGTTATAAAACCCTTTTAAATATCGATAAATTAAACATTTAGCCTATTAAAATTTATATTAATTGTAAACCCTATGACTAAATTAATATAATGTGAAGCGAAATCAACCAAGAATTCATAAAACAAAAATAAGTAAAATAAAATATAAAATTAATAGAAATAGTTTAATTTTTCACTTTTTTTAAATTATATTTAAATTCACCTCTTTTTAGACTTGTATTTTTGTTCACTCTTGGGATGTTAATTTTACCTATACTCATATTTATATTTATATCCATAACTTATAAAAAAATTAATTTTCTATTTGAATGAAGATGGAGATAAATATTAAATTTTAGAGATGAGAACAGAGATGTGAATAGTTATAAAATTTTTATTAAGTACAAGAATGAGCAACATAACACTCGCTCTAAACCCGTAATTGTACCTTTTATATATTTTGTATATTTAATAAATAAATTTTATTTAACAATATAAAATTTTATTTAGAATAATTAGATCTAATATATTTCTATTTAAAATATATATTTCTAAAAGTTACATAACTATGCAAATACAAATAAGAAAAGCTAAAAAAAATTGTTTTTTAATTAAAAAAGTTATAAATACACACTCAATTATATTTTCATTGAAATTAAAATGAAAATGAATTTGAAATATCCATCGGATATAAATATAAGAATAAATATAATATAAAAATAAATGATTAGGATGATAAATGCTTTATCCATTTCATATTTTATCTATTGATATTCGTACTTTTTTTTCTATTACAAAACATAAATTACATTCTTCTTTTTTTTATCTATTTTACTTTTTCTAATAATTATATTTTTTTCCTATTTTAACATTTATCTTTATTATTACTTGGCTGTGTGCCACAAACTAATATATAACCAACATAAAAAGCTTAATGGACCAGAATCGACATATTATCCATTGGGCTTGTATTGTATAAAGTAACTGAGTTAATGTGGAGGGCCACCTTCACGTGCTGAGATGATGGGTTTTCTTACTATCAGGTTTCTGCCCACGTGGCTGAAACACAAAGAACAAAGAACCTCATTCTAGTTCCAGTTGAAACCGATAAAAAATCGTCCACTACTCAAAAGGAAAAACACACCCACGGTTTCAGAAACTAACATAAAAAATCATGAATTCAATTCACAATATTGGAGTTTGCAGTTTCACTTGAATAAATCTTCAGTCTCAAAAGAAATGGAGTGTTGTTCTTCTTCATCGTTATTAAGCTTAAGCTTAATGTTAAAGCCTCCTCCTCCATTAATGACCATTAACTATAATTGCAACTCTCACTGGAGGAAGAAGAAGACAGGGCATTGCTTGCTTCAAGTCTCTGCAATCTCTTACCAAAACTTCATTCACTTTGCTCTCAATGAAACCAAACGCCATACCCTTTTGCTTCCCTCTCCCCTCCAGGTAACAGGGTCTCTTTTTCTTTTTTTTTTTTTTTATGTTGAACTTTTTAATGAGAATTTATGGGTTCTTTTTGGTTATTCTGATTTGATTTTTCTTGGGTTTACTATTGTTTTTAATATATATTTTTCTCCTGTGTCCTGGTTCTTTGCCATTTCAGTCTTGAGCTTTTTGTTTAAATCTCTGAGATTTGTAGATAAGAATTACTGATACCATGTGGATGAATCCTTGTGTTGCTTTTATCTAGTTTCCATGTTGAAGTCAATTTCACTATAAAAATTTAAAGAACACTTTTTGTGTCTATTTGATAGTTAATTATGGAACATGATGAGCTAGACTGAAATGGAGCATAATTTTTGCAATATCTTCACAAATTATTAGTACTCTTAATTCATTCATATAAAGGATTGATCTTTTGCTTATCCATGGGGAAAAAATGTTGTCTTGGTTATTGTAGTTTAGACTGGCCATTTATTGTCCTAAAAATTGGACCAAGATAATGTCTTTAGGAATGTGCTTTGGGTTTTTTCTATTCAGTATTTGAGTTCATTTTGCTTGAAAAGAAAAATAGCAGAAATATTTTAGGATCCAAAAGCATCTCATCAAGAGCATCAAGACTGTAGCAATCTACCATGCCTCTTTATTGATGAAAATGAGTGCGTTATCTGTTTATGAGGAACACATGAAGGGCACACTTCTTTAGGGCCTTTCTATTGAAGCATGGTGCAGTTGTTGACAGTAATCATTGGATTAGCCCAAAATCCCGCAATTGAGCTTGCCAAGTTCAACTTTTTGGGGTTTCTCATGGGTAACAAAGGATTTTTAGGAGTCGGTGCCAAACCAGACACAGAAGGATTTTGGGCTAATCCAACATTTCTTGCTGCCACTACCATTATTGTTTTTGTTGTTTTGGTTAATATTGTGATGAACATCACAACCATTGACATACCAATATATAAAAATTTGCAGTGTGATATGAATTCATGACTTAATGTTGATTTTGCTGCTTTAATTTCACTTTTAGGAAAGATATAGTTCTATGATTGCATTGGATGGAAAAACGAGACTTGAAATGCTATCATTTGACACTTCTAGAATCAGACTACTTCGAAGTATGAGCATTGAGGGTGAAGCTATGCAGGTATTATCTTCTAATTTGTTACCTTAATGTTTTGAGTTGTTAAATCAGCAAAAATAATTATGCTAGTCATGGGTTTTATAACTTGACATACAAACTTAATAGTTTTTCTTCTTAACTATTTGTACTTGTTACAACTTATTATTATATGTACTTTCTTAGATTTATTCTTGACATTTTTCTCATGATAATTGTAGTTAAGTTTCTTCATATAGTTCATTAGAAGAAGACAAGCAGTGATTTGGCTCTAGTCTAATGCATCTTATTCTCTTGAGTCTTGATAAAAGCCTTATTCTTTAGTTTTCTAAATGACTTAATCTTGCTGTGCTGTATTTTATTGCATTCTTAATGTGTGGAGTCTTTAGAAATGTAACAGTTCATTTTTTAACAAAGAGCAATTAAAAGAAAGATTTAAACTCTGAAGGCATAATGCAGTAAATTACTTCAGACACCATTTTAGTTTATTAAATTTGTCCCAAAAACTGTTTGAGGTCCTGTGTGGAAAGGAAGAATAAGAAACATGTTGTAGAACAAGTTGATGCTGGGTTTAAAAAAAGAAATGCTCTCTCTATGTCTTGGCTGTTGAGATCTTTTGTTTTGACCTAGGTAGTTAGTTCTATTGATTATTTCATTAGTAAAACCCATGTTTTTTTTTAGATTATTTTGGTATATAACGTGGTTTATGCTTTTCCTAATACGAACTCCTTTCCGTCTTTCTCTTGGTAGGTATTAGATTTTGCTGCCTTTCCAAAACCAGAATTTGATCTACCCATATTCTGTGGCAACTTCTTCACGGCTGCTAATACAAACATAGTTGTGTTGTAAGTTTTGTTATTTTCTTTCGTTATTTGTGGAACATGATAGGGGAGACTACTTTTCTTTAAGTGCTCTGTACTCAGGTAATTCTTTTATAGCAGATATAGCCATCCTAGCATAGTGTAATGAGTTTTTTTTTTTTTTTGGTTTTGTTGCCCATGGTAGATTAAAAAAATCTGGTTTTGGCTTCCATTTCTGTACTTGTTCTTGGTCAGCAGGTTCTTCTCATCACTAAACATTCTAATGATACATATGGCGCATCAAAGAGTGCAAGTAGAAACATTTTATACGCATTGCAAGATGTTGCAATCGCAACTGAAACCACCAAGCGTATATGTCTGCCTTTAATTACTTGTTTGGTGTTTCTTATACTTTTAGTAGGCATCTGCCTCCTATTTGAAAGGAGAGAGAAAGGGAGGGTGAGAGAAAGAGCTAGATCAACACCTTTATGATATGACATTTATATTGCCCACTAAAGTTCTGTTTGTTTTATAGAAAATGACTTTAGGAAAATGATTTTTGGAAAATATTTATATTTTTTGAATTGAAAGAGAATTTCTGTTGTTTGGATGAGTTAATGAAAAATATTTTCTGTTGTTTAGTTGGTTTCAGGAAAATCTGTTTTTTTTTTTCAAATAATATTAATATAACTATTAAAATATTAAAATTATTTATTATTAAAATATATTGAAATTATTTATTATTAAAATTATTAATATTAAAAAATAATTAGATTTTAATAATAATATTTAATATTAAAATATTATATTAATATAAAAATACTTAAAATAAAACTATTTGTTATTCTTTATATTATTTATTAATAAATTATAATATTATTTATTAATATATTATATTAATAGTATATTATTTATTAATATTTTTATTTGTATATTATATTAATAGTATATTGTTTATTCATATAATATTATTTATTAATATACTGTAATTTAATATTATTTATTAATATAATATTATTTATTTATTAATATAATATTATTTATAAATAAAATTATGCTAAAAAATATTAATAAATAGTTATACTCATAGATAGCTCTTTTCCGGAAAATGTCTTCCCCTTTTCAAATCCGTAAGATAATTTTTAGAAAAATAACCTCATTTTCCATTGACTAGTAAGTTATTTTCCATTGACCAACCAGTTTTTGCCAAACAAACAACTGAAAATGCGAAAATCATTTTCCGAAAATCATTTTCCGTGAAACAAACGGAGCCTATGTGTAGCTTTTACTGTTTGTTTGTGTATATGTATTATTTATATTTCCCAGACTCTATCCTAAGTTTGTGCATCCAACAATTCTGTTCATTGGCTTACATCAAATGTTTGACAAATAATTCATGAAGGCCTAAAGAAATTTTCTTTCTGGGATTGTAATGAGCACTCTCGATTTTGGAACTTACCCTTGATTAATCATTATAGGGACCTAAATCCTTTGCATGATGTCACTAGTCGAAGAGACTACAAGGAAAAGTATTATGACAGCTTAGTTCCTCTAGGTCTCAAGTATACTGAGGTAAATGAGATGATTGGAACTGGCACATTATGGTAAACCCCGATATAGATAATTGTTTATATCAGTTTATCGTCTCTAAAATTTATGCCATGGTGACTGAACACGGATTTCATGCAGCTTTTACCTTGGGGAGGAAAGCTTACAAGTGAATCTATAAAGTTTTTCTCACCGATGGTGATATGGACAAAGTTTACTTCAAGCAAATCTAAACATGAAATTCTATATTCTGCATTTGTGGAATACTACAAGGTAGATGTATTCTTCTGAAACATGTGGTCATTGCCTGATTACATAAATTAGGAACAATGATTAGCATTATTCATATCTTGTCTCTTGGAAACTGTCTTATTTTTCGTACTTCCTGATGCTCTATTAGGTATGGATAGAGCTAATGGAGCAAGCGGTGGAGGATACTGATCCATCTCAAATTGTGTGCAATCTTGAAGCACAGCATAGATACCTAACATGGAGAGCAGAAAAGGTGATTATTCCATGTTTTCCCTTTCTCCTACAGTCTTTCTTGTTTTTATGAGCCTATCATGTCTGTTAACTTCAGGTAGGGCCTTTGGAGTTGATTTTTCGTTGCAAAAAATAGAAAATATACATGAACTAAGATAAAATATTATCTTTGCAATTGGATTTTTTAGGCCTTTGAATAGGGAGAGAGCGGATAAAACTATCTACCTATCCTTGTTTGTCATTCCAAGATAATATATAAATACATAACTAAAATGCTTGCCACTCTTGCTTCTTTAGTCAACTCAGCACCATTGGTTTTAATTGCAGATATTTCCGACTTTTTAAATTATAAAAAAGTCAAAATTTAACTTTTTGGATCTTCTCTCTGTCATATCCATATTGAGGATGGAAATATGTCATTGACTCATTGTTAATCAACTAAAGCTTTTGCAATACTCTTTTCTCTAGCGTGGTACCAAAGGTTGTTTGACTAAACAATCTTATGTTCAAATCGTAGGGCTTTTCACTCTATTTATTCCAATTTCAGAGTAGAATGAAACTTAGCCTATGGGTACAGTTGAATTGGGTGTATGTGTAAAGTCCAAAATGGGTGGGGCTGTAAGCGAATAGAACGATCGATGAAAAGTTCATGAAAAGGCTAAGTTTTTTCATTTATTAAGCTTAACAAATAATCACAAATAACATTTAAGTTAATTAAACGAATAGATCATGAACATACATTCATGTTCATTTTGTTTATACCCTGGGTGTAAACAAATAGTGTTTGACGAACAGTTTGTGGACAGACTTGATTTCTGTTTGTTTATTACACTTAGCAAACAATCATGAACAATATTTTGGGGGTTCATTAATTAAAGGAATAGATTAAAAACATAGCAATATTCGTTCATGTTTTGTTTACACCCCTAAAAATGGGCTTGGAATTGATCCCTACAAATATCATACTTTGGACATCTGCATGTATTCATTACTTGCATCAGACCAAGTTTAAGGCTTAACTTTTCATGGATTTCCCAGGACAGTCTTGTGTCCCTGATAAACAGGTGGCATAGAAAAAGTTCTTCCTGATTATTGATGCATATGATTCAATATTATTGGATAAAGGATTAAGACCAGAGCATGAGTTTTCTGGTTGCATTTAATCTTAAAAGTTTGCAGGTGTTATTGTTTATTTTCTTGACCTTTTGGTTCATATGAAAGCAGGATCCTGGTCATGGACTTCTAAAAAGGTTGATTGGTGAGAAGCTTGCTAAGGTATATTCATGAATCAGTTAATTTTAATGATTCTCTGTCAACTTGCCTTGCAGTACCTTTCCTAACTATTGATGTTTAATCCTTAGGATTTGTTGAGAAACTTCCTTTTTAGTGGCACTGATGAGCTAGGAAGCAAAACATTCCTCGATTACTTTCCCCAGTACCGGAGCGAGGATGGGACTATAAATGAGAAGCGAAGCATCGTTGGGAAGTCTTTTGAAAGTCGTCCTTGGGATACAAAAGGAGAATTTGTTGGTAATGACTTCAGAAACTAATTTGGTATTGTGGATTCCAGTCAATTCCTGGTTTTCCTGTTTCTACCTTTTCTCCCCCCTCTTGCTTGGTTATCTTTTTTTATAGGCTCGGACCTTATTTTGTCTTTAGGTTTTTTTACCCTTCCCAAGGAATTGTTGTAAGTTATAGTTAGATCTTGTGTGCATGTTGAGTCATCTTTTGAGCTTTGATTCATTTCAAATTAAAAATTTTGAATGTTAGAATGAAAGGGTTCGCTTTGACCGTTAAGAGCAGGTAACCCGTTCCCTGTGTCTTTGTTTCTATTGCATTCTATCTCATCGTATCACATTCTGTTCTGCGATATTTGAGAATCGCCGTCAATACCTCGGTGTAGGTCCGGGATAATCCTTTGTTCCATAGTCCCGGGGCTATTTACAACCAGCCAATTAAGAATTCTCAGCTTAATTATTTTTGTAAAAATAGCTAGCAAAGTTTAGTTTATCCGTTAAAACTTTTGCATGATACATTAAAAATTTTCCGAGTGGTTTGTTCTAGGCATTCTTTTCAAACCATCACGGATATGAAAATAATGAAAAAAGTTGGCTTCAATTGTCAACTGCTCCTATGGAAAATAAGATTGATTGCGGTTCGAGCCGTATATAATATATCCTCATGGATTCAATTGTCGACTGCTCCAATAGTAAATATGATTGACTACGGATATCTATCATCTTTTTTAAGTATCATAAAATAATTTCTTGATTTTATCTACATGTAAATCATGCAATCTTATATTCAAATTCAATTTCTCTTTCAATTTGTCTACATATAGATGGTAGTCTTATATTTAAATTCAATGTATACTTCTGTTATCGTTTGATTTTAAATAAAATATTAAACATAATAATTAATAAATAGATAATGATAATAATATTATTGGACGATATAACCTATTTTTGGCCTGTATAAAATGGAAATTACCATCCGTCACCGTGGGTAAGGGGATTTCAGACGGTCACGCGATTTTCATAAACTTAACTGCTAAGGTTTCGTTTTCCATCCTCGTACTTTTTTTAAGACAAACCCGGCAACTGCTGAGTATAGCAGTCAAAAGAAGAAAAAATGGAGAATTACGACACTAAGAAAGAGCAGAGGAAGGAGAACAGCGGAGAAGAGATTGATCTTGATAATCATCAGCAGGGTGTTGGAGCTATTTCTTTGAATGAACTACCCGAAGGATGCATAGCCGAAATTCTTTCAGCCACCACCCCTGCTGATGTTTGCAGATTCTCCCGTCTTTCTTCAACTTTCAGATCAGCTGCTGCTTCTGATAGCGTCTGGGACAGTTTCCTGCCCTCTGATTATCAGACCATTTTATCAGCATCATGTGCTCATCAGGCTGACTCCTCTTCCCTCACTTTCTCCTCCAAGAAACACCTGTTTTTCTATCTTTCTCATAATCCTATCCTTGTTGATGAAGGCAAAAAGGTATCAAAAGTGTTCTGCTCAAATCCTTTTTACTGTAATTTTTTGGGGGGAATAAGTAGCTGTAAAATTCTAAGTCTAAGCATCTCTATCTATGCATAAAGAAATTTAAGAGTTCTGGGATATGATTCCTAAATTGAAATACATAGTTGGTTAAATGGTACTATCTCACATCAATGAAGTATTGAGTTTGTTGTAGCCTTGCATTCAGTTTGGAACTCTACATCTATTGCCATTGATTGTAGGTTGGGTGCTTCATCTAATTTAAAGATGAATTCTTGCAAATCTATAATAGCATAGCGACGTGTAATCTTCAATCTAAGTCAAGGACTATTTTTTTATATAAAGAGGCCATAGCCCGGGGAAAGGTAAGAGGTTAGAGGTGCTGGCATTTGGACTCCAAATTTACTGGCTGCATGACTGTATGAACCTATTAAACTAAAGTTTAGGTTCAGACGAGTGCTATTTTATGAGTCCCATAAGTTGGAATTAGATCCTACATAAATGTAAGGAAATAATAGCACACAAAACACATTTCATAGGAAATCTATCAAAATTATTATGTTTCCATGGACTTATACACATATATGTTGTGCAAAATGATTCACTAGCCAGTGCAAATCCAACAGTTCATGATTTCATGGCTATAATAAAAAGTTTTTAAGGGGAAAAGGGGCTTCCTAGTTGATTTTTCAACTGTAGCCATCATATGTCTGCGAACAGATCAAGAACTGCGATTTATTTCACAGTACATATTTTTTACTACAGTGAATTTAGAGTTGAAATTTTGCTCATATTCTATTCTTGTGGCAGCGGTTATTTGTTTTATTTTTTGAGTTAATACTTGCCAGCATCTGAAATTTAATGCGCAAAGCTTTTATTTATTCATTAGCTAGAAAATTAGTTTATGCAATATAAACTTGTGAGCAGTGGCAGGGGTTCTTGTTCTCAAAATTTGCACATCTAAACTTGGTGTTAATATGTATGATAGAGTTTTTCACTGGACAAAAGGAGTGGCAAGATAAGCTATATGATTGCTCCAAGGGATCTACTGATTGCATGGGGAGATGTACCGGCTTATTGGGTTTGGATTTCCCATCCTGAATTCAGGTTTCTACACGAAAAGTTCTCCCCTTTCCCCATATTAAATGTTGCAATTTATGTTCGTCTCCTCACTTTGTTTATTGAATGTTCTGTTTGTCGCAATGAACAGGTTTAAGGAGGTGGCAAAGCTAAATCATGTGTGGTGGCTTGAAATCCGTGGCAAGATTAGTACCTACAAGTTGTCGTTACATACAAACTATGCAGCTTACCTTGTGTTCAAGCTGCGATACGCCTTCGGCTTTGACAACCATCCTGTAGAGGTTTCACTAAACACTTGGAGTCGATTAAAATTTGTACAAAATCTGTTATTCTAGAGCCAGGAAGTTGCTGGCCTTGTCGACGTCAACAACGACGAACGACATGAAAGGTTTTGGTTTTGTGCCATTGAAGTGGTATCCATAGTGAAATGTCCTGTTCTGGAAATTCCAAAGGAGAGAGCAGATGGTGGATTAGAAATTGAGATAGGTGACTTCTTCAATAGATATGGAAAGATGAACTGGGATGAGTGGTTATGAGGTAAAGGCTGAATTTCCAAAGCGGTGGCCTTGTCGTTCATGGTGTTGAGATTAGGCCTAAGGACAATAAGCTAGGGAATGCATAATTGTTATCTTCACGCTTCCAGAACAAACCTCCCATTCTAAATTGCTTTCTTCATGGGGATATTCTAAGTACCCCTTTTATGTTGCAATGTCATGGTAATTTTTTTCTCTATTTGGTGGTTTATGAATTTGATTTTTCTGATGCAGTTTGGTCATTAATGTTCATTGTTTTCTCTGGATGCCATTGTTGATGGGTACTTTTCTTTATCTGCTTCTACCCCTGCCAATGACATTGATGAATGATGATGCCCATACAATGCTCAACTGCATAGACTCATGGTCACATATGCACTTTGCTAGCATCATCCCATCATCCCATAATGTCAAAATGTCTGCTATGCATTTCATTGTTATTGAGATTTAGAAAAATCTCTCTCCCTACTTGAAGAAACCAGCATGGAGCAGGAGATTTTATTCATTCTTCAATCATATTGTGGACAAAACTATGGACAGATTTGAAGTATAGAACTGTGGACAAAGCAACTTTCCTCACGCTCCATACTTTCGATGCCGACACACTTAAAGAAGAGTTTTTTCTTTGGATGGCGTGTTTCTTAGCTGGACCATTTCAAAAACAAAGTATCCAAGTCCTGTTGCTATAAAAGATGTGAAAAGCAAATAAAAAGAAAGTGGTTTGTAGATATAATCACTTATTCCTTTGTATAGTTAATTAGCTGCTTGTCAAAAGATGCTAAAAGATTTCCCCCTTTAGGCACCTTTCGATTCATGAAATTTGATAGAAAATAATTTTTTAAAAATGTTTACATTTTGGTTAAAGGTTTAAAATGTTCTTAAATTATATTTTAATAATAATTAACCTCTTAATATTTTATTATAATCAATCAATCTTTAATCTCTTATTTTGATTCAATTAAACCTTTAATTGACAAAATCTAACCACATGAAAAAATTAAATCAATCAATCAATATTTGAATTGTAATCAATTAAACCCTTAAAGATATCTTAAAAAGAGCTAAGAGAAAATAAAGAAGACAAAAAAAAAAAATATTTTATTTAATTTCAAAAATATTAATTATGCCACATGTAAACTTTCATTTATTTTAGTGATTTCACATGGAATTTTATCTTAATTAAAAAAAATTAACTATGTTAACCTTTTATTCTTGTAAGGGTTTATTTGGATGCAAATAAATATTGAAAAAGTTGATTGATTACAATAAAAATGTAAGGCTTACATAAAATTTTCAATTATAATTAGGGATTTTTTATGCCCTTTGGCCATATATTTTTTGGAAAACTGTTGCTTGAATAAGTTAATAAAAGTATTTTTTTATTTTTTAATTTCTTTTGAAAAATTTATTTTTTAAAAAATAATATTGATATAATTAATAAAATATTAAAAATTATTTATGATTAAAATATATTAAAAATTTTTATATTAAAAAATAATTATATTTTAATAATAATATTTAATATTAAAATATTATATGAATATAAAAAACACATAAAACAAAATATTTATTATTTATATTAATATTTTAAAATATCTAAAATGGTATTATTATTCTTAAAATATTATTCTATTAATACAATAATATTAAAAATAGTAATATTTATTAATAAAATATTAAAAATATTTATACTATTAAAGTAGTTATATCTTACATTGAAAGTATCTATTATTAAATCATAACAAAAATATTATTTATTTATTTTTATTATTAAGATAATAATATAAATTCATTAACAAAAATATAAAGTAATATATTTTAAATTAAAAGTATTAAGAAATTATTTAAAATATTCATTTTATGAAAATAATAATTATATTATATTATTTAATATTAATTATTAAAATAATAAAATATTATTTAATATATTATTATTTATTATTAAAATAATAATATAATACTATTTATTATTGAAATACTAAAAATATTTATGTTTAATAATATACAAAATAGAAATATTTAAAATTAAAATATAAAAAAAAATTTAATGTTAATATTTTAATTAAAATAAAATAAAATATTTTATTAATATAATAATATTTCATGTTGAATCAAATCAAATTTAAACTTAAAATATCATGTTCAAGGTACTTAGTAGAACTATAAATATTTTTACAATTAAAATATTAGAAGACTTTGAATATTAATATTTCAAAATTTTTTAGTAAAATTAAATAAAAATATTTTTTATTAATATAATAATATTTTGAATTAGGTTAAATTAAGTTTGAGTTTTAAAAAATTCATATTTAAGGTCCAACTTGAATAGAATTCTGCTCATAAACTTAGTAAGTAGTTTTATTTATAAATAACTTTTTTTCAAAACTTATCTTCCTTTTTTCAAAAAAGGAAGATAATTTTTAGAAAATAATCTTATTTTTCATTGACTAATAAATTATTTTTCGTTGAACAATCAATTTTTTATCAAATAAATAATAAAAATACTAAAATTATTTTTAAAAATGATTTTTTATAAAATAAACAGAGCTTTATATTCATTTTTATATTAAATTTTAAGAAATTATTTAATAGAAACTTTACAAACGAGATTAAGATAATAACATATATTTTTTAAAATTAGTTTTATTTTTATTTTTTAAATATATAATAAAAAATATATGTCATCATCTTAACTCTACTTATAAAATTAAAAAATTTTCATTATCAATATATTTGATAATTTCTCTTCAACATTTTCATTTTCAATGATAGGAAAAAGTTTGTGCCTATGGAGAGTTAATGAACCTGAAAGTAAGAGTTAAGTATTTGTCATTTGTACTTAAAAAGGACTTCAAATCTTAACATATAGTAAATTTTGAAAATGGTAGGGTTTATGAAAATGGGAAAAGATTTACAAAACCAAAACATGCCATTTTTTAACATGATAATTTGTATATTTATGTTTGTCTATTTTATATTTAAGACATGTTAAAATATGAAAATTATTGTGTTATAATTCATGTAAATTGTCAAATCTAAAATATATATATTATATTACAACATATAAGGTTATATAATAAAATTATTATGTGAATGCGTACATGGATAGTCTCTTTTAATAACACAGAATAATACCTTATATTATTTTATTTATCAAATAAATTTCTTTAATAAATTATTTAAATTTAATATTTTAGATAATTATTTAAATTTAAATCAAAATCTATCTGAGATTGAAAATTTTATATAAATTTTGAATTCAAATATATTAAATAATAATTTATCTTTTCTTTTTAAATTTAATCATGATTCCAAATATATATACTTAATAAATATTTATTTTCTGCCAAATAATTCTATTTAATAAATTATTTAAATTTAATATTTTTGGATAATTATTTAAATTCAAATCAAAATATATCAAAGATTGAAAATTTAACATAAATTTTAAATTAAAATATATTAAATCTTAATTTATCATATTTTCAATTTAATTATGGTTCCAAATATATATGTGTGTATGTGTATGCGCGTGCGTGCACGCTTAATAAATTATTATCTATTGAATTTAGAATTAGAGAACAAAAATAAAGAATATAGAGGAGAAGATCCATTTAAGTCAAGATTATTTTATTTGTTATTATTAGAATCAAAAATTGAAGAAGATAAATTTTTTTTGTTTGACGCTTATGATTTATTGGTTTTGACAGAAATTGACAAAAGTTAAAAAGAAGTGAAAGCCATGTTATATTCATTAACAAGTAAATCTATTTTTTTACCTTTATTACTTCTCAAAATATGGTTTATATTGAAATTAATAATTAAGTAAAAGAAAATAAACTGTAATTTGAATTGGCAATGTATTAAGACTTATTTAGAACTTATATGGTGATTGACTCTAAATTAATGAATTATTGACTATAAAGTAATTATTATTAAAATAATAAAAGTTTACATCTTTATATGAAAAGATGAAACATTTAAATGTTACTAAAGAAGTTAGATAAAATTATATTTTTGTTTTTGAGAAAAAATATAATATTTTGTTTATGTTCTAATTCAAATATTTTTATATTATATATTTGGTTAATTTATTTGTTTCTCTTTAATCTATTACTTTTTGTTAAATTTTGTTTAGATTGATTATAACTAACTTTTCGTATTATATATATATATATATTTGTTTTATTCATTTCTTTCATGTCTTTATTCTATGTTAATTCATTAATATATTTGTCCTTATTATTATATATTTTTAATTTCGACAAATTAATATATAAACTTATATTCTCTATTTTTTTCAGCACTTTTTTATTATTAATTTTCATTATCTTTATGAATGATATGAGCAGAATGATGATCATTACTATATTTGATTTACCAAAAATACTTTATCAATTATGTTAAAATGATTAAAAATAAATTAAAAAAATATGATATGTTTTTAAGTATAACATAACAATTATTGTTTCCTTTTTATTTAAAAAAAAATCTTATTTTGTTGACATAGAAATAATTTTTAGGCCAATATATTAGTGTAATAATTACTTGAAATATGTAAAAAATTAAGAACTAATAAAAAGCAAATGATTATTGTTATAATGTCTAGATCCGGGGATCTATCGTTAGATATTGACTTGAAGGAGTCGTCACCAATCTTTTTTTATCTAGGTGAGATTGGTCACCTAAGGAATCTGTCCCTTTTAGGGAACACCTAAGTTTAAGGATCCCTAAAAGAATATGTTCAGGTCTACTAACCAGAATAGGGTTCGAGAGTTCGGTTACGTATGAAGAAGGTTATAACAC